TAGAGCTCTTTAAAAGTGAACTATTGTTTCATGTCTTGAATGTCAAGGAAGGCTCGTTCAAGGCGAAGTTGGAAGAACTACAAGTATATTTACGTCATTTACCGCGTTGCTTCGCAATTTTTGTTTCTACTGACTGTGAAAGGAATTCGATTTGCAACTGGTGTTCACGAAAATTGAAATCTAGAACTTTGTAATCTCACATATATACATGCTATAAAAGTGGTTATCTGCAGAATTTTTTTTAAGTACTAAAGTTCGGGTGATGTACATTGTGTTTTTTGAGGCGCTAAATATAAATACACCTTGGTGACACGGAGTCGTTGTGATTGCTCACGTTGTTTTCTCAGCGAAATCACGGCTACAGTGCAGCTAGAAAAGTCATTCTTCTTCTAGTTTCAAACAGCAGCAAAGGCATTTTTTTATGGCATGTTTTATGTTTAAAAGAGGCCACGAGAACTAAGGAGCCGGTCAAGATTTAGGGAGTATGGGGGGTAGGGGCTAGGGAAAATTTTTCAAGGTTCTACAAAATGCCATGTAAATCTGTATTTCTGTTACAAATAAAGTACATCGAAAAATTTAAATTATTATGACAACTTAAAATTGGGGCCGGGGGGGGGGGGAGGTAAAATTATATTACTATGCAATGAAAGGAAGCAGAGCGGGGGGGGGGAATACTCCAAAAACAATTTTTAAAAAAAAGTTGAAAGAAATCAAAGACGAAAATAAAAAAGTCCACAAGAAACTTGAAGGTGGGTGCTTGTGGATGAACATTTATTATTATGATCCAGACTATCTTTTAAAACACATTTCATCATCCACCCTCCCCCCTTCCTCCAAATAAAAGTTCACTTTCTTAACCTAAGTTTCATGGAACACTAAGCCACTGAGGGACTTGTCAGAAATTAGCAGGGGGGGAGGGGGTGGGAATTTTAAATTTGGGTTCGGAAATGAGATGACCCATCCCTGGAATGGGAGTGAAATTGGCTAACCCTCCCATTGACCTTGGCCTAAAATATCATGACCCCCCCACCCTCTTGTATAAATGATAAAATCTACTAGGGTGAGTCAGTATTATGAAAGCTCAAAATATATTTCTAATCTGTTTTTGTAATGCCATATACATACATTTTAGATGACAGCATTAAGCTGAGTCCGACTCTGATTCTGACAGCTGATCACTCGACTCCTATTTCTCCCATTTTTTTTTACAAAATAAAGAACTTCTTTTTTCTTCTGTGGGTGAACCTCTACATGATCACGGACACATATTTGCATGACCCTCCCCCTTTTAACGGCCCATTTTTCATGATCCCTCCCTCTTCTGCAGTCTCAAAAAGTTGTGACCCTCCCTCTGTTTCCAACCCCCCTCCCCCCCCTGCTAATTTCTGACAAGTCCCTGAGGTGGAACAGGAAGTTATTAATCCATATAGTAACCTTTTCCATTTCACTGGCCACAATAACGATCTGCTGTTTCTCAAACAATGGAATGGTGCAGTGATCAGCCCTCTCATAATATGTTGCATGCTCAGTCATTATTTTTAACCCATTTACTCCTCAGAATTTTGCAGAAAATTGTTTTTTGAAGCTAATTAAGCTGTTTTCTGGTCACTGCCTGGCTACAATAAGCCAAAATACTGTTTGTGAGTTGAGCACTTCACAGAGCCTTCTGTTCCAGATGCAAAGTATCAGCTTCCAACATTTGATCATGCTCAGATAGAAAAATTTCAAGCTATTTTTTAGGTTTAAGAGTGACACAGCAGTCTTGAGGTTTCTTTTCCGCTTCTTCTCCTCCCATTGACAGGAAATGTTTTGGGAAAGCTTCTAGGATCATAGGATTAGATAGAAGGATGTGTAAGTGAGTAGTGGAACAAGATTTCAAGGGGAATGGGTTTATAGTTAAGCAGTAAATTTTGTGATGGGTTGGTTACAGTAAGTGACATCCCAAACTTGTTGTGTTCCTATTACTTGGGGAAAGCAACCAGTGATAAATTCATTAAAAACTTTGAAAAAAAATACACAAGTGTGGCTACTGATTTCAGAGCCCAAAATAATAACTTCACTGGTAGATATTTTCACTTGTCAAAGTTTTATTGTATTGACCCCATGACAAACAATAACTAAACCAATGAATTATTGCTCATGGAGTTGCACTGTTCACCATCTTCCAGAGTAGCGTACAATATGACCTGCACCCGTCCATTAGTTGACAGTAAAATTATAACTTCAGAGAGATTATGTTCCATGTGGTTACCTGCCTGAGGTTATCGCTATTATCCCAACAAAGTCATACAGCATAAGAAGCTTTTCGTGGAGAACTCAACTCAGCAAACATGCTTTACAAGAAAGTGCAAATGTAAATCGTGTATAAAAGCAATGAGTTTGACTACCCTGTGTGCACTAGTGTAGGCATTTACTGCATGGTTGACCAAAATATTCTTGGACTGAAAGGACTGAAAGCCGATGTCATGTTAATAAACTTGAAGCTTGTATTTGTAACTCA